ATATATAGTAAGATATATATATATATATATATATATTGAAACTGAAAAATACATGAATTTATTAACATTCGTTTCTAATATATGACAATATTTTTTACTTTCCATGTTTCCATATTTCCTTACTTTTCACATTCCGGGTTTTCCACTCTACATTTAAAATGTTTTTCCTGATTCACCCCCATCAAATATAACCAAATGAACATGTACATGTGTGAACAGTATTTCATGCTATACCCGTAATTACAAGAATGTGTTTGTTTTCACAATGTTTGTTTATGTGTTCTTCTAGGGTGTTAATGATTCTGATCTGAGAGAACACATGGTTGGGATATTGTTCAGTCGAAGCAAACTAACTCATTTACAGAAACAGGTAATGATTACATAGTAGGACTCCTCTTGTGTTTCAAGAAAACCACAGTGCCAGTATGTCACTCTAGATACTGATTACTGTCATTTTCTTTTCACAAGTTTAATATATTTTCTCAGTAATATCCTTTCAGAACCAAGATTTCACAAATTGTATTTTCCCTTGATTCTTGTGGTTAATGTAGACAAAACATTTTTCTCATTATTTACAAACATTTTGTAGATTTCAGTGGCAGTCTACATGTCAATAACAACAAAAGTTGATTTTATAAAATTTCATAAAAATTCTCATGGATACATTATGCTGGCTACTTCCTTTAGTCACTTTTACAAATCCCTGCTGCTGCCTCCATGGATGGCCAAAATGAATGGGAAGGGGCGACATCAGCAGGCACTGTATTATTAAAAATAATGAAGTAACAATGACAAATCACATGCATAACATGTATATATTTTGTAGGTGTGTGCTCACATAGTGCAATCTATCCGTAAAGAAGCCTCGCGAGTCAAAGAAGAATGGGAAAACAGTTTGCTAAATAAAGATGATAAAGATAACTGTGTTGTCATAGCTTTATCTGATGCATACTGTTTTGAATTATTGTCTATGGTTCTTGCTTTGAGTGGATCCAGTGTTGGTAGGGTGTACATTGCACAGCAGGTTACACTCATACAGGATGTACTCACATTACTACATACAGGATCCCCAAGAGTACAACGACAGGTAAAAGATATTTAATGTTTTATCTTTTACTGTACTCGTTATGTTCCCGTATTTGCTCTTATAAGTATAGTTAGTTAGTTAGTTATGCCTATCATCCCTCTTGGGACATAGACCACCAACAAGATTGCTCCAACCAGGCCGGTCCTGTGCCAGTTTTTCTACTTCTTCCCAGGTATAGCCCAGCTTCGGAACATCAGCCTCTAGGTCCTGTCGCCAGGTGTTTTGTGACTGGCCTTGTTTTCTTTTTCCCTGTGGGTTCCATTTCAGTGCTGCCCAGCCAGTGCCAGCATTTCTGAAATATCTCTCATTCTATGGGCTGTTGACTCTTATTAGTATGTGCTTACTAAATGATATGTGTGAGTCTGGAGTTTAATGATCTAGCATACAATAAATGAAATATTTGCACTTCTATTGAAGATACAGTGAAAAAAATAGAAACACTTCACTGTGATGACAAACTGTCTAGGCTGATGCAACAGCAGATGTGGCTAAATGTTTACCAAGTCTGGGTATTATTCTATAATATACAATATACTTCACAAGAGACACTTTATTTTGCTTTATTAGATAAGCATCGCTAATACCAGGTAGACGTGTACATAAACCATAAATTGCCTGATATTGTACTCTGCATGCTAGATCATTAAGATACATAGTATTTTGATCAGATGCTTATCTATGTATTGATGGCTGACTGGCAGCTATTTTTTTTCTTGCCAACATAAACATTACAGACTCGCACATATTAAGTTATCTAGCAGTCCAAAACATTAGTGCGCAGTGTGGAACTTGAACATGTGCATGTCAAAAAGGAGCATGTTAATGGTACTCTGATATGAGGCTTATTTCCTAAATTTGTTCCATCAGTAAACCTTGTACAAAGCAGAAGGTTCTTTGGTATTTCATCAGCATTATCAGTTGTCAGTTTAATTTATTTCTATGACATGCTTACACAAGATTATAAAAATGATTGAATGTTGTCATTTCTCCATCTTACTAGGTTGCATCTATCTTACGAAGAATTCTTCCAGAAATCACGCCACAGCAGTTTGCTAGTAACATGGGTATATCATCTCTTCCACCAACGGATATCAGTATACTAACACAATCAAATAAATCACAACCTTCAACCGATGATTATGTTGGCATACTAGATATATTGTTGGCGTGTATGGCTAAGGCATTGACAGTACAAGTCAAGGTCAAAGGTGGTAGTGGACCTGCTGGTACACTGGGTGGCAAGGGAGTGTGTACATTGACAGTAGCATCTATGATGAACCCAAGGTGAGATTTTCTTTTCTGACAAGACAATAAGCGTAGATACATTTACTACTTGTACTTGAAATGTGCACATAAAAAAGTCACAAATGCCAACAGTCACATTCAATGTCTGGTTTTCTTGCCACAAGAAATATTTTTAAGAAAATGTTATTTACCGTTTCTACCTTTATTATATTTAGCACATATCATAATGCTTTCTGGGTATATATGCAAGTCTGTTACATCTGTATGGGGTGATATTGAAGAAGGTATAAACTCATAATTTTGAAACTTGGTGGGAATAACGGGAACATGAATTGCATATATTACCAAGTGGTGGAAATGTACATCACAGTCCTCTACAAACTTGTGGGGATCTGCTATCTCTGATAACTTTCTTGTTTTATTTCAGTGTTGATGATAAGCAAATTAAGAAAACTGATGATAAGAGATGGTGGTTAAAGGGAAGCATGGCTCAGAATGTTGGTGAACTTATTATTAAACTACTTAAAGACATGTCTCTTGTAAGTATTCAAAGTGGTTTACTTCATGCAAAAATGACATCGTACTGTGAATGAGTAGATTGGATTCAACACAGTGATGTAATCAATCAATCAATCAATCAAATATTTTATTTTCCCTAATAATGTACACTTGTCATTTACAAAACAAGAATCAATCAATAGGTAAAACAAGAACCAGAAATAGCCGTTGGCTAATCTAGTCTGATTCCTCAAAAAACAAAGTGAATTACACTATCTTTGAGGGTGATTTATAATAACCTGAACCTGTAAGTGAAACTAATAATAATAATGACAATGGTAATAATAACAATAACAATAATAATAATAATAATAA